TTATGTTTTCCCTTTTTTCATTTTCAATCTACTATTACCACTCTTTTTTTTTTTAGGAAATGATGGAAATAAGAATCTAAAATGGGTAAAACTAAGTGTTTATTTATTTTTTATATTATTTTGTGAAATTTTTTTTATATCCACTTATCTTTTTCTTCTTCTTTTTTTTTTTTTCGTTTGTAGGAAATGATCAAAGTCACACTCTAAAATTGGAAAAATAAATTGTTAATTAATTAATTTTCTTTTGATGTAAAATTTGTTGTTTATATTTATTTTTCATTATATTAATCATTAAATTTATATCTCTTGTTTAGCTATATATATTTATGTGATTTGAAATATTTATATACCTTAATTTTTTGTTATTTATTCAATTTTACATAATTTTATTAAATATTTCAATTTTATGTAATTTTATGATAATAATAGCATATATATTCTTAGATATTTTAAGCATATTATATAATTTCTAAATAGAAAATTTTTTTTGCACCAAAGGCGTATATTTCAGACTGATAATGGTCTAAAATAACTATTGAAGGCTTCACAATAAAACTTTCCATCCTTTTGTTTTAACAATTTAGCACACAATAATCTGAATTGTTAATAGTCTGAATAACACTTTACAAAATCCTCAATATAAGGATGATACTTTTCATCTCTTACAGTTGAGTCCATATTTATTCAGACCGATATTGGTCTAGTTTGACTTAATATTTTATTATTCCATAGAATATATTAATCGATATATGGTCCCATTTGCATAATTGTTCAGACCAATATTGGTTTGAAAAAATAAATATTCAGACCAGTATGTTGTTGATCCGAATAAAAATTGTTTCAAACTAGGTTTTTTCAATCCACTTTTTTAGACTGATATTGGTCTAAATATATATCACTAAATCATTTTCTATCTTTTTCAGACATATATATTAGTATGAAAATTTGTCTTTTCTAGTAGTGACTATTTTTTTATGATATGTATATTTATATTTTTAAGTTATCTTTCATTTTTAAAATTTGAAAGAAAAAAATAATAATTTTTAATGAGTATGTAGCAAAGTGTATTAGATTAAAAGATGTTTGTATTAGTGTCCTAAAAGGAGTTCACTTGAGAAAATCATTCTATACCATAGAATTGTACATTTAAAGTTTTTCTAACATATAACCTTAAAATACATTAATTGCATATTTTTGTAATTAATTTTTATTAAAAATTTGATTTTATTTTTATTAAGTATCTAATCAAAATTATTTATGCATCATTAGTGTTAAAAATATTATTTATTTCTGTATTTTTATAAAAACGATAGATACATAGAAATGTGCAATTAATGCATTTTATTAATAGTGCCAACAACTTAAATAATTAATGGTAATTTTCTTTTTCTTTTTTTTTTAGATGAATTAAAATTTTATTATAAAATTGAGTACAAGGGTACTCTCCCATAGACATGATTAGAAAAGAAGAAAAAAGAGAAAAGGCTAAGTCTCCTTAGAGCACAGCATTGAAAATTGACACCAATCCCCAAAGGAAAATGTAGCAGAGGTGGAGATCCCTTTAATCCATTCAAAAGTTTTTGATTGAACAAGGTCATCAACGTTGTTTTCATCCCATGTCATGGATTTGAAAATCACGCCATTCCTAGAGTACCAGATGAGGCATGCAGTTGCTAACACAATAGGGATCCAACAATTTCGTGCCTTTTTTGAGTAAGGATGTGAACAGAGTTGAAGAACAAGCAAGGAGGCATTATCAGGAGGGACGAATGAGAACCCCCACCAAAGACAGATTTTGCTCCATAGTAGCTGGACCTTCCTGCATTTAGCAAAAGAGATGGTTGACATCCTCCATTTGGGCACCGCAAAAAACACAATTTGTGTTAGACAAATCATCCCAAATGGTAATTTTCTTTTAGTGAAATTAAAAGTTTTAAATTCAAATCCCATAATTTTGAGGGTTAAGTGATTAAAAGGATATAAAAATGTTATTTTTTATTATGTAATTTAAAAGATTAAAAATAAAAACATCATTAATATGTGCTCGGAATGCAAGCCACACTAATAGGATTTCACCTGAGAAAATCATTCCTTTAACCATAGAAGCACGTAAGTCGGTTAATGCAGTTAAAACCACGCGTAGTTCTAAATCGGAGAAAAGTGAAAATACGTTCATCAATTCATGGGTGATGGATATATTCATTATAACTAGCGAAATCAAGCTTTCAACCTACGGAATCAAAAAAAATAAAAAAAATAAAAAACCACGCTGAAGGAATGCAAAGCCCATCATTGCAATCTTTTTTATCAATTCATCTTGACTGTAATGAAATAGGTTGTTAATTGGTATATTTTTTACTTTAATATATTATATGTTAATTTTTTAATTTAACACATTGTATGTTAATCTTAATTTTGATATCCTAAAACTTACTGAAAATGTAATTTTATTTTTTGGATACTTCTTACCCAATTAATCAACTTTTTTTAAAATTTTTTATGATGAAAGTTCAATTATAAATTAACGTGAAAGGATTAATTTTAAAGTTTAAAATAAAATTTATTTTTGAAATATGAATTGTAAATTTTTTATGTTATTATATATATTTTTTGGTAACATATTTATAAGATCGAGTATATTACTTAATTATTAAATAAAATATGTTTCTATAAGAAATTTAGTTTCCTACTCAAAAGCTTGCCAAAATGCAACTACATGGAAAAGGATTCGAAACTAAATAAAAGGGCTCAATTCAAAAATTAGTTTATTAATTATCAACTTAATTTCATTTTAGTTTAGAAAGTATGTTTTATTTCTAAGTGGTCTATAAACTTTGAAAAATATTTCAAAATGGTCTACCGTACAAGATTTTCATTAAAACTAATGGAAGAATCAACTTTGAATTAAAATAGAACAGTCTTTTAAGTTTTAAAAAAGTGACAGTATAATCCCAATAAAATATAATGAATTAATGAATACTCTATAAAGATAAATTAGTTAGAATTTGTAATGAAATTGAGCAACTAGCTCAATTTGAAGAGAAAAACCTAGTGAACTTAGAAAGATAAACACTAGAAGTAAGTATTGAAAGTACAATGAAAGTTAGAACTCTTAATTACAAAATAAGAACAAAAAGAGAAAGAATAAATACATTAAGAAATATTATTAATACACTTTTATCAACATGAACAATGAACAAATAAATCAAATAAACATGTATTTACTCAATATAGTAGGGAAAAATATAATAGATATAGAAGATACAATTATCGTAGGTAATATTCTAAAAATAGAAGCAATAAATCAAAATACCCTAAGAAGAATTAAAGAAATGGGAAAATCTTTTTCTCAAGAATTTGATTCTATTAAAGAAATAATAAATAATGTCAAAAACTCTAGAAATTTGAAAGAAATAAAAGAAGAAATAAGGTCTATTAAAGAATCAGAGACTCTGATATCTTGAGGAAGAGAGATAGAAATGAAAATAGAAGAAATTTTCAAGATATTAAAAGCAATCGTTGAAAATTTTGCAATAAAGGCTTAACAATGTATAACAGAATAATTCCACAACTAGAAAGTGATATAGATAAAAAATTTTATAAGATCTAAACACAATTCAAGGATCTACAAGATACTATAATATCAGTCTGTAGTAGGCGAAGTATTGTAGATAAAAATGAAGGATTTAAAATAATCTCAAAAATTTTCATGAAAAAGCCTAAATCAAAAGGGATAACACTTTTCATGTTAAAAAACCAAGAAGAAAAGTTGAAAGAACTTGAACAAAATTTCTTAGAAGAAGAAAATGTAGAAAAACTAGATAATCTGTGTAGACAAATTACTATAACTACTAAACAATTAGAAAATATGAAAATGAATACCCAAAAGGAGGAAATAGAAGAGGAAAGTGAAGAAGAAAAGGATGAGATACATCCTAATATAACCCCAACAAAATTTCTAGTGCCACTTGGAGTAGAATCTAGCATAAGCCAAAGCTATAGAAAAAGTAGAAATCTAACACATGAAGTGATATATGATAAAAAGAGTAAAAGATTTGGGAATCAATCTAAACTTGAAACGCTAGTAAAAATCAAAGAATATATAATTAATACTAATGGTATTTGGCTAGATCTAGATTGTGTTACCAACCCAAAGAAGGCCATTAGTGACTGGGCCCAAGCTACATGGATAGCCATAGCAAACAAAAATTGGAATGCCTTACAAACAGTTAGATTTATTGAAATCACCTTTAAAGGGATAGTTCACGACTAATTTGTTGGTCTAAATGAAGAAGACAGTAATGCTATTATAAGTGGAAATCTTGCTTTAAAAGAAGTTAATGAAAACGAAGCAATTCAAGACATAATAAATAGGTTTGAATCAGTTATTAGGAGATAATTCTTAAGAGAAAATTGGGAAGAAAATCAAGGAAAAGAGGAGGCCAAAATTGGAAGAATAGTAGTATGGAATTTGAAATTTTTAAAATTATGTAATCTTTGTGAATTAGATCAATACATTTGTCTATTTTAGAAATACTATTATAAAGCTTCAAATCATAGAATGACTAAAGGGCTTATGGAATTGTTTTTTGGAAAAATTCCTAATCCTTGGGGAGTAAAATTGGCGGAAGCCTATAGAATATATGTAAAAGATAAGAAAGATACTTTAGGGTTAAGCATTTGGTTCGCTAAAACCAAAATTAATGAATGGTGCCTAGAAACCTATAGCCAAAACAAACTAAGAAAAAGTATGAAAAAGGGACTATGTTGTCCTAAGAATAGTGATCCAATCAAGTTAGGATGTAGTTACACCAACTATAACAAGAGAAATAAGAAATTTAGAATTAAAAGAAGTAATAAACAAAGGTTTAATAAGAACAAATTTTCTAGAAAGAAAAAGAGGTATTTTAAGAAATCCAAAACATCAAAAAAGTATAAAAGGAATCCTAAAAAATGCACATGTTGGTTATGGAAAAAAGAAGGGCATTATGCAAATGAATATCCTAAAAGATACAAAAGAGAACTAAAAACCTAAAAATCTATGAAAAAGAACTAAGTGAAATAGATGCTAGCTCTATAAGTAGTTAAGAAAGTATATATAAAGTGGAAAGTTTATATACCTCTAGTAGTGATGAATTAGAATCTTGAAGAAGGAGAAACTTATTCTAAAGAATATGAAGGACATGGAGAATATAGTCAAATAACTATATTCGATAACAGTAAATATAAAAGAATTAGACAAAAGAGAATGGACCTTGCTTTAGAAAAAGGATTCAAACCAAATTTCTTTATAAGTAATCCTTTTAAGAGAAAAAATACATTTTATTATAGAATATCCACTAAAGAATATAGCGTTCCTATCAAGAACACAACGGGAATAATAATAAATATACCTTTGATTATTAATGCAGAAATAGAAAGCAAACTATCAAAAATTAAAGAAGCTGATATATCAAGGATAGGTTTTATCCACATTGGAGAAATACAAATACTTATTAAAGCTCATTTTAGAGAAGGCATAGACATTGTCACTGTCACGCCCCAAAACCCAAATTCGAGACGCGACAGACGCCGTGCACTCGTGAGAGGGTCCCACAAATGCACAAAACTCGGAACTTATCAAATTCATATCTGACAATCCACAAAATCTAATGATCAAATTTTATGAAAATCTGCTCTGATATCATAAAATCTCCAAATACACTCGAGTTTACACGATCATGATTTATTTCTAAAATCTATATCAAATCTCAAAATGACTAACTTTCTAACTCGTCACTTCCCGTGGTTTTCCTGTCCTCGATTTTGCTTCCTGAAATGGTGGACAAGGAAAACTATGAGATAAACTAAGTAAGTAAATATGGAGTGCCCTTTATTAACTTATAGCATGCCAACAAGTACAATCACGAAAAACGGATACAGTACGGGAATGAAATAGACGTCTCCTCTATAGGTCATGGCCAGTGTTTAAACCTCCCACTGGCAGGCCACAGAAATTACTAGTATTTAACCCCCACTAGCATGATTACAGAAATACCAGTGTTTAACAACTCCCACTAGCAGGAAGAACCAGCTCTACAAAAATACATGTCGACATGTGCTAGCGTTTAACCCCCACTGGCAGGATTACAGAAATAACATGACCACATCAGAGACAAAACAGGCAAAAGTTAACAGAAAAATCATAATTCACACCAATCACTTTCAAATCATCAGGACAATCAATTAAATTTCAAGTAGGCATGCTCAATTTAATGAAAAGCATAAAAATTTCACTTCAAATCAGTCATACTTACTTTTGCATAAAACCAGTTTAGTCCCGCCACCATTTCAAAAACAAATCAAAACATGCTTTTAAAATCGAAGGGCGTTACCATAATCTACTTACCTCACTCGCATAAAACCGAACACTCGATTTCAGTGCTAAGCTGACAGAACGATCAGAAACCTAATCAAAATATTCCAAGAATTAATTTCGTACTACATAAATTCACACTGAAATCATCATTAAGACTACCCCCAATCACGATGGTATTTCTATAAATCTCCACATTATTAGATATCTCCAAATTCGTTCTTATATCACAAACTAATCATTTAAATCCCTGTTAATTGTTGACCCTCAGTGTGTGAACAGTAATCTGTGAACAGTGTCATGAACAGTACTAGTGAACAATGCCATGACGTGAACAGTAACTCAACTTCCACAAATTGGCCAAAACACTAGCTAATTCACGGGATTTTCTCCAAAAATCTCACAGCAGTCAACTCAAGCAATTTATACATGAATTAAGCTTAATTATGCTCTAATTACTACCCAAATTCATCCCCAATTTTAAGCCAAATTCGGACATCACAAGGCAGCAAAAATTCATGGACAACCTCAGCAGCTAATGGATAATTTTAGGCTTAAAGTGGCTGCCACATACCAGAATTTGCAAGCAAAAACCGGACTGCAGGTTGGGGGAAGGCCGGCGGCAAGTGCAGGGGGACTCACGGGGCTGCCAAAAATTGAAGGGAATAAGAGCAATTAAGGTAAACCCAAGGCAATTCAAAGCTAGAGAAGGGAGATTCATGGCTATTTCTTACCAAAAACTGAAGCAAATCACACCCCACAAAGCAGGAGCAGCCGGCGGTGAAGAGGAGGAGCAGAGCAGATCCGGATTTTCCAGCAGGGGAGGGAGATTTCTGGGTTCAAGAACAAGAAAAGGAGGAGAAATCCAAGCTTTCTCACCGGCTTCTCAAGGCTGGTGCCGGCGGCTTGCTTGGTTCCCTCTTTTCTTTTCTTTTTTTTTTTTTTTTTTTTGTTTTCCAAGGCATGGCTGGGTTCCCCTTTTTTTTTTTTCGGGTGGCTGCAGCAGGGTCGGGAAGAGCAGAAGCACGCGGGGAAGAAGAAAGAAAGAAAGAAAGAAAAAGAAAAAGAAAGGAAGCTGATCCTTATCCAATATTTTCCCCTTTTTAAGTCCCTCAACTTTCAAAATGTTGGCCATCAAGCCCCAAATAATATTTTCTCGCAAGTTAGTCCCTAACTCACACTTAAATATCACAAAATTTTGGGGTATTACAGACACCCCAATAAAATTAGCTTTAATAGATAATAGAATCAATGATAGAAAGGATGCTATCCTTAAATTATTGCAAGGTAACCTTAGTTGCTAGAAACTTATGTTTACAACATATTAAAAATACGATGTAAACATTAATGATAAAAATATTAATAAAACCTTAAGTTTATCACATGAATTTGCTAGAGAAAACTTTATAAAAGATGGATCAATGTCATATAGTATAACTATATGATAAGTTATGCATTGACTAATAGTTATCAATCTAATCTTTTTATAGATAAAGAATATATTGAATTAGATCCTATGTTTTCTGAAATAGGACAAATTCAAAAACTAGAAATGATCACTGAAATAGAATTACCTAAATAATGAGAAATAGACATTAGTGAAAAACCGCTCCTAATAGGAGAAAGAGAAACGCCTAGACTAATGGCATATGAGTTAGGAAAACTATTAGTCAAAATAGAACTTGAATCAAGCCATAGAAATAGTGTTGACTTAGGAGTTATACACTATCCTAAGAAAGATAAAACGATCTTAGCTAGAACAACTAGTATAAAACATGAGGTGGTATTAGACACCTTAAAAATCCCTTCTAGACATTTCAAAATATAGGG